CCGGAGGAGAGACATTTTTCAGAGTAAAACAGGAAGTGCTCCAGCCCTTTCAGACGCAGCTTCCGGTTGTCGTGAAAAAGGTCTATTTTTTTCCTGAATCGTCAAGCTTAGACGTGTTTATAGGGGACTTATTCCCAAGAGCTGTTTTTGTTAAAAAATGTAGATTTGCAACATAATTTGCTTTATTTTAGTTCTCATTCACTTTCCAGTCAACATATTTAGATTATTTTTATTCGAATTGAAAAGAATGGCATGTCTGATTATTAAAAGTTGAAGTTAAGAAAATGAAATAAATATTTTTCCTTTTATGATCAGTTGTATTTTCTATTGTTGGAAAATAATCGCCACGTTTGACAGAGGGGGACTCATGGCATGATAAAATGTCAGAGGGGTAGACGAGTCGAAAAGGGTCGGGAATCAGAGTATGTGGGAAGCTCTCCCACCTGCTGTTCCTGTTAAATATTTATCTTTATGAAGCCGCTATAGATCCGGCTCGCTGTGCTGCAGGTAGAGAACGGAGAATAAAGAATAGAAATGGCTCCACCGTCCGGTGGCTCTCACCTGAGGAAGCAGCAGGAACAGCTGAACTTTCTATCACTGCCTCCTGCAGACAGTCTGCTTTCTGTCACAGCTTCTAAATGCTCTGATGGTGTAAAACACTCCGCAGTTTAAGGTTAAACTCTCTGATGTTTGGTCGAAAGGTTTGTCTCTAAATGGGGACACACAGCAGGTAAGCAAGGTTTGAGTAAAATCGTTTGAGTGGCTTTAGGTAGACCTGATTAGAAGCTACACAGCAATCTAAAGTGCTTTTTTTCTTGAACCGAGGAGGAAAGTAAGACAAGTGCATATTATCTTATTTCACCTACTCAAATTAAGGTTAAATACACATAATTGAGGACATTTGGACTTATTTCTAGATCGTTTTTACAGTGTAGATGCTGTTTCTGAGGGATCTGAGTGTGCAGGCGGTGAATGGTTTCTTCCCCTGTGTGCGCAGGGCCTCCTGGACCCCCTGGAGGTTTGCTGGTGAAGAACGTGGCCGAGACATCAGTGGAGCTGAAGTGGAGTCGCGGCCATGATAACCACAGTCCCATTGGCAGATACATCATAATGGGTCGATCGTCACTCTCATCAGAATGGAAGAAGATGATGACAGGTGTGTGAAAACATGGCGTTTGTGCTAGGGGTGTGCAAAATAATCGTCATGATGATGCATCGTGATTCTAATTTACATGATCTACTGCATCGATTCTTGACGCCAAGTATCGATTATTAATTTTAAAAAGATTGAATAAATAAAATTGCATGAATGGTTGGCGAACATCAGCCAAAAATATTGTAATACAACTTCCAGTCCAGTAGATGTCACTGCAAATGTGTTGACGCA